CCCCCCCCCGTGACCGACACCCCGATCACATCCCGCAGGGCTTTTAAGTTCGGGCCTCGCGTCCCCTCTCCTCTCAGAAATAAACCGGGTTGGATTATTAGCCAAAACTATTATTAGCAAAATTATTAGCAGTTTTCCTTCTTCGGAAATATTGGCCGGTTGCAAATTCACGGCAAGAACTAGGAGCCATTAAGGTGTAGAATGAACGAAAGCAGCCACTATTCCATAAGCCCTGCTGGAATTGTTGGGACGAGAATTAAATCAAATTAAAAGAGCCCAGAGAGAGAGAGAGAGAGGTGGAGTCCCCTCCCCAAAACAATGCTGGGATTTTGTTTCCCTTTGGCATTTCGGACCGTTTGGTTCATTGGCATCTCCCTTGCTTGAAACAATCCCTTGTTGGATGATAATTGTTTTGTTTTTTAAAGAGAGAGAGAGAGAGAATGCTGTGTTTTCATGGCTCTGGGCTTGTCTTGTAACGTGGCAGTGACACAAATGCCATGACGGGGGCATTCATGCTTTTCCACCCTGTCGGCAAATTTGAAAGGTTAACGTGGATCCCCCCCCCCCCCCCCCCCCCCCAAGGGATCTTCCTTCTCCAGCCAAAGCCATTCGTGATTCTTAGGGCTGAGATCTCTTTCCTTCTCTTCCTCTCCTTTTGGGGACGGGATCCTCTGTGTCAAAGGGGCACCCAAAAGGCATCTGGACTTCCTTGTTTTATTTTTTTTCCCCCTTGCAAAACGTTTCGCTTCTCATCCAAGAAACTCGCTTCGGTTCTAACTGACCTGGTAAGGAAAGGGAAGGATTTATTGGATTCAAAAGAGACGGGGGGGGGGAAAAAAAACACACCAAGGAAGGTCCAGTTGCCTTTTGGAAAGAAAAGAAGAGAAAAGGAAAGCACCTTACTGTGACCTGGATGATGGACAGGTGGGATGCTCTGAGGCCCCAGCCAGACCTGCCTGCCTGCAAAGCTTGTGTCTTCGGGGCCATCGGTTGGCCCTCAGAGTGGATGAAGAGCCCCTGAAGGAAGGTTTCCCACAGCTGATGTCTTCCTGTGGCAAAAGCCCCGCCGTGTGATACTGTTCTCCACCCCCTCCGTGATGCTGCTAATAATGCCAATTTCTGCCTGATGGGTTACGTAAGGTAGCTCTCCCACCCAGGTGGTGCCATTGGCACACTCTCTTGCTTGTCCCCGCCGCCTTTCCCCTCCTCCTAACCCTCCCCTTCTTCCAGAAGAGCCTGAAACAGCGTCTGGGGAAAAGTAACATCCAGGCACGCTTAGGCCGGCCGGCCCTGGCTCGCGGGGCCTTCGGAGGACGGGGGCTGCCGATGGGGCAGAGAGGCTTGGCCCGGGGCGCCCTGGCTCGCGGGGGACGCGGCGCACGGGGGCTGCTGCGCGGAGGAATCCCCCTGCGAGGTGAGTGCGCGCTGCGGGGGCTCCAAGCAAGAAGCCAAGTTGGCTTTAATCCCCCCCCCAAAGAGATCTCCTGCATTTGACCCTTCTCCCCCTCCCTCCCTCCCTTACAGGACATAGTTTGCTTCGGGGAGGCCGGGGACTCGGCCCCAGGATGGGGCTGAGGAGAGGAGGCATGAGAGGCCGGGCGGGGCCTGGCAGGGGCGGCCTGGGCCGAGGAGCCATGGGACGGGGCGGCCTCGGCGGCAGAGGTGAGTGGAATGGACCCGAAGGACAGAGGTGTGTGTGTGGGGGGCTGTGTCTCGGGGGGCGGGGGGGGGGGCTGGGGGGTCAAAGTGGGTTTGACTGAGATCAAGTCGATTTAAATCACTCATACAAATCAACTCGATTTAAAATCACAATTTTAAAAGAGCAGCTCTGCCTCTGACCCAGCCTTGACTCAATCAATCGAACGTTTATAGTCGGCACACAAACGGGGGAGCAGTGAAATTGGGAATTGACTCGCCGACTTGTCCCAATATTGCCGAATGCGCAGCCTCGGGCGACATCACGAAGCCCCTGTTTCACGGCTGAATAAACTCCATTGCGGACGTTCTCTTAGATAGAAAACTACCTTGAAGTCGATTTGATATTTTTTTTTACTCCAAAAGCATTTTTATGAAAATCAATTCGATTAAAAAAAAAAAAAAGTCCGATTTACATTTTAAAAGATCTGATTTAAATTTTGAAACAAACTGATTTAAATTTAAAAAAAATAAATCCCAATTTAAATTTTAAAAATCTGATTTTAAAATTGAAAAAAAAAAAAACACCTGGTTTTTA